TTCATACACTTGTTTTTAACATTTACCATTAAATTCATATTTCTTTCATTTTGTTGATATTAATAGTTTTAGAACTCTTAAATTCTTGACATTTTGTTTGGAATTCTTTTAGATGCATATGTATTCTATAATAATAATAATGAAATATTTTAATTAATTTCTTGAACAAAAACAAATTTTCATTTATTATATTTACAGTATTTTTTTTTACAATGATTCAAAAAGATTATCGTAAAAAAATTCCATTTACTTAATAAAATAGTAGGCTTGATTTAAATTATAGATATTGATATATGTGAACTTGCATACAGCTAATACAAAACATAATAAATAATAATAATATTTTACTTTGTTAACTAGGATGTAAATTATGTATTTTTTTAAAAAAATGTTATTTTCTTTATCATCATCACATTTAACTTGTCTAGTTTTTATGATTGTAGATTAAACGGGTATTAAAGTATAATTTCAATGAAAATGGTTAAGGATATTTTTAAAAAATTAAAAATTTGAAAAAACTAAATCGTCTTCCCTTCCATTATATCCAATCATCAGGAACAAATGTTAGTCCTCCTTTGCAGAGACAACCTTTTATTGAAGGCTACACCTCTGCAAAATTATGTAAAACAATTAAGATGTTCACTGATGATAAGCCAATTGAAAATATATATAATTTCAGCTGGTTGTCTCTGCAAAGAAACTGTGTTTGTTCCTGATGATTGGACATGATGGAAAAGAAGACAACTTAGTTTCTTTGAGTTTATAATTTTTTATAAAAATATAACTTGGAAAATTTTAAAGTTCAAGAATAGTTCAATAAATTTAAGAAAGCATTTATTAGATTGTATTAGAATTAATAATAATTTCTATAATTCAATTAACTTCTTTCTATAATAATTCATTTATAGCATGTCATAACATAGATGATGTGATATAAACTGTTTATTTTTGATGCTTATTCAAATTTGAAGGCAATGACCTAATCAATATTTGGAAGACTTGCCTGAAATTCTGGTTTAACTAAAAAACTTAATTTTTTGTTATGTATAGTTTCAAGATTATAAAATAAACTTTTGAAATTTTTTCTATAAAGCAATTTAGATATTTTGAGTTAAAAACAGAATTATTTTGCAAACATTAAATGTTTAAAAACATAATCTAAAATGCTTTCTTTTTTCGTTTCTCTAGTTTATGACCATTTCTGTAAACATCTTTTTTGTTTTTTATTTTTATAAAAGTAATTATATAGTATAAAATATACTTTAATAGTATGTGTGTGTATATATATATATATATATATACAGTCATAAAAGGCAGTATATACAAAAATTTTCTGCATCCAAATAAATATCTTTTCAGACTTTCTCTTCAAAATATCAAATTACCTACTATTTATAACTCATCAGTAAGCAGACAGATGACACATTTTCTATTTGTAATACTTCACAGGATGTAGTTCAGTATCCTGTGATCTAGGATGTGAATGTCCCTGACATTGAAACCTCAGGAAGTGTAGACAACTTCCCGAGTTGGGATGATATAAATGAATGAGTTTCGTTCTTTTGATGCGATTGTATCTAACTTGCTGTAAGCACTGTTATTTTACTTGAATTCCTTTATAAAAGTTGAAAACTGGATCTTGAATAATTAGTTTTATTATAGTATTATGGAATCCAGGATTTGTCATGAATTATTATGCAAAAATTCTACATCCTATTTGCTAAACTTATTCTGTCACATTATTTTATAGCTTAACCTAATTCCTGATGTAACATATAAATAAAAACTTTTTAATTGTTTATTTTCAAATTTTGTATTTAAAAAAAAAAATTGTATATATTAAATACAAACATTTATTAATAAATATATATATATATTACATTTGAAATGTAAAGGTCTTCATATCATTCTTATTAAATGTGATATGTAATCATGGTGTAAATACCAATGATTAAAATTTATCTGCATTTTTAATTATGGAAATACAGTCATACATATATTTCTATATTACTAAGAGATTTGTTATTAAGAGATTTATCAGGTGCTTAAAAATGGATTTTTCTATTATAAATAACAGAAACACACTAAATCTAACACATTAAAGTGAAATACAGTAATACCCCGACTTACGCAAACCCGGAGTTACGCGATTTTCAGATCTCGTCGATTTGTCTTTTGTTTGAGCACCATGCAACCCTTGATTACTCACTCCCCCACACTATTGTTCAGCTTACATGTTCGGATGTGTCACACGGAATCGACACATAGCTACAATTTATTTTGTGTTATTTACTTCTGTGTTTGTTATATCTACGGAGACTCGAGAGAGACTACTATGTCATCCAAACAAAGTAGAACTAATTTTTCTGCATCAAGCAAGAAAAGAAAAACTTTATCTTTGGAATGTAAAGTTAACATTGGGTATGTTCGTAAAGTCGAACGAGTTAAACNATTGTGATCTGATATATTCAAAAGTTATTACAAATTTTAAGATATTATAAGCTGTTGAGAGGTTAAAAATATTTGTTGTAAATTTGAGGTACTGGTTTCTACGTGGAAGAGTAGAGTATAGCTGTTGATTATTATTTATGATTTAATTGATAATATTTTTAGGTTATTATCTTTGTTTAAAAGTTGTTATAATTTTTAAAACAAAAAAAAAAAGTTAGCTCAAGGTAGGACCAAATTGAGATCACCCGCATGGCAAGAGAGTTCACTACAGACTCAGCTATTTCGCTCTGATGCCATAGTGTAAAATCAACCAGTATATGAGCTGCACTTAAAACTTTAGAGCCCTTTTTCTTGGAATCTTCTGGCTAGTGCGCTTTACAATTCTTCTGGGTGGACACCCTTGAGGTATACTACTATCCTGCAAAGTCTTGTACCGAACTGAATTTCCGAGACCATAAGATCGCCTTGTAAGTGGATTGTTTTAAGATTTAAAAAGTAAAGAATATTTTGTGTTATTTTTATGTACGTTTCTTTACAAAGCTATATTTCATTATAATCTTTAAAAGTATATTCATACAATTGAAGAATATTTTGTACCAGGTATGTACTGTACATCCACCACACATTTTATTTCACCGAGTAAGTTTTTATTATTTTATTTATAATTTTAGCCCTTGTATCGTAACTAGCAATTCAGAATGTAATTGTGATATTAAAAATACATTTAGAGAAGTTTATGGTTTTTACTGGCTTATCAAACAAATGATACAAATGGACCCTACACCATCACTGATGTGCAATTAACTGATTGTCCCTGGAAGTTGGCTTCTTACAGAAACACAGCTTTCCTACCATCAAATGTCATGGCACGCCACTACTAATGCTGTTCTCGAGATTAAGGAGGAACAGACAGACTGACAGATGGACGACAGTTATAATTTATAAGTTTATAATTTTTTAAATTGCAGCCCAATAATAATAACTTTCTTTCTTGAACTAGGATATAATATACAGTCAGTTCAATAGTTTGGAATAATTTGACTCTATCAGAAAGTGCTAATCTTTGAATGACAATAAACTAGATAAAGTAAAAAATTATGAAAAAATTAAATAAGGGGATATTTAGCCTGATATTTTAGCTATATTTTTATCTAAAATAATTAATTACTAAATAAAGTATTAAAAAGTTACAATTATTTTCTTAAGTGAATGATATTCAAAAAGTTTAGAATATTTTATTTTAATTGTTGGTTAAATCATCTTTATTATGAATCAGATTTTATTCTTTTTGGGCATACTATAAATAAGTGATTGGCATTGTTCAAGACTAATTTCAGACCTAATTTTTGAAATTTTTTTAAAAATCTTATTTATTGGTTGAGTTAGATTCTTACAGTTATTTTTTTTTACAAATGGCCCAAATATTTTCAATTGGGGACAAGTCTAGCAAATTTCCAGGCCGATCTAAGAGCTTTATTTTTTTAGATGTAATCCATTTTTTTGGCTTGTTTTGCATGTATGACATTTAGCTCCATCCTGTTGAAAGATTACATCATCATGATGAGAATGATTTTCCATTGTTGGTATGAGGGAGTATTCTAAAATATCACAATATACATCACCATTTATTGTCTCATTAAGAAAAACCAATTTTTCAAGTCCATTATAGTCAACTGAACCCACACTATAACTTTAGTGGGAAAGTTAATGGTTTATTGTAAACAATCTGGATTGTTGGGTTTCACACTTCAAATGCCAAACTTTTTTCTCCATTATTTAATTAATGCCAATTTTTTTACTGTTGATAATTCCATTTTATATGAATTCCATGTTGTACAAGTCACATAGATTTTACAAATGCGTATGCCAGGCTGTGAACGGCTCACGTATTTGTAAAATCTAAGTGACTTGTACAACACGGAATTCATATAAAACAGAATTATCAACAGTGTTATAGGGGGGTCGACTGTATTGTTTACTTTAAAATATAATTGTTTTGTATCCTTGTAAGAGAGCTTATTTTGATTGTAATGGTTACTTCTCTATCTCAATCTCTACTTCAATTGTTGGGCTTTGTTTGAAGTTTCAATTTGTTGTTCAATTCCTGTTCTACATGCTTATTTGTATTTTGTATTTCTTAATTAGATTCATTTGAAGACTGGCAATATATTCTGTTGTTATGCCTTTCTTCAATTCATTCAAAACATTTAACTCCTTTCTAGAAGATTTTGTTTTTCTGGGTTCTTTTTTTTTCCATACTTGTTTTCTGTAGAGATTTTTCAGCATTGTTTTCTCTTACTACTTATGATGATGATACATATATAAATTTGATTTCACGGCTTCTTGTATAATCTCACTAATTCATTCTTTTTATTAATCTAAACTCTGTACTATAATTAATTTGGATTAGTGAAATTGCACTCTATATATTTTATACAGATGAATTAATAATACATTACATTGTGATCTGATATATTCTAATAGTATTAATTTAACTTGTCAAGTTTTAGCAATATTATTATTGTATTTGGCTTATAATTTTCAATTTTATAATTTCAGAACTTTTGCTACTGGATATTAATATTCTGTATACAAATTTAGTTGTAAAAATATTTATTTCTTACAGACAATTTTGTATGGAACTGAATGGATTAGCTGTGAAATTACAGGTAATCTATCATATAATTAATTATTTGCATAAATCATTAGTTGACTAATAATAAATATTAAAAAAAATTTAATTTACAATTCATTTTTTAACTTAATCATTGTTAAACTTTTTTGTAGAGTTTTAACTTAAGATATGAAATTAAGGAAAGGTTAAATTCATGATGACAAATTGTACACTGCTGGCCAAGTAAAATGCAACACCTGCAATATCTAGAGTCCTACATGGTGTTGCATTTTACTTAGCCAGCAGTATATAACAAAATAATCTTAAAGGAGAGGACCTGAAGTGAAAATACACTTTTTTAACAGGAATAGGTTTAAAATGTGTTTTAGTGAGTATAAAACCCTAGGTATTTGACAGATGAACTTTGTGAGTTAGATAATGATTGGGAGCAAAGTGCAAATGTAAAAAGAATAAATGTTGATAAAATGATTTAGTGATGTACTGTATTGTACATGATGTGATTGCAAATGAGAACTGAAATTCTGCCTACATGTATATTCACTAAGTAATTTTAGTAAACATAAAGAGAATGGAAAAATGTTCAATTTCGTTTAAATTATTAAATAAATATTAAAAATATTTTCTTATACAAAATAGTAATTATTTATGATTTATTATATTTATGAATAAAATTTTAAAAAGTAGATGGAAGCAAATTTTAAAAAATGAAGTCTCCTATGCAAATTCTTGCTGCTTGGCCTCATGGCTACTGCAAATTACAGTTAGTGGTATACTTCATATGTTCTAGTGTTTAAATCCATTTTACAAAGAAATGAAAGCCCATTTATTCAAAGTAATCTAAGATTTTATTACACACATTAAACTCCAACAATTTTTGAATAGGAGAGACCTTAAAGGCCTTTCCTATTCAAAAACTGCATTTCTTCTAGTCATCCCCTTCTTAGAAATATGAATTATATTAAATAGATCTCATGTCTTTTCAATTTTGTAATAAATAGAAACTGGTTTTTNTTTTTGAAATATTTACAAATGCCACAAATAATCATCATAAAATACCTTTTAGCAGCAGGGGAATTAATTATGTTGAATTATTGCAAATATTTTTTTTTTAATGAGCATTATCAGACAACTGAAAATCAAATACCAACAGAGTAGAACGTATAAAATGATATGAAGAATCAAATTAAATATTAAAAAAAACAAAAAAGAAACTTTAAAATTGGATACATATGAGTAAGTAACAGATTCAGATTTTTTTTTATAGCTTAGATTTCAATGCCCATTTCTACGGGCATTGAAATCTAATCTATAAAAAATATAAAAAATCTAATCAATTGTGTTGAATTTTTGGTTATCTGACAGTCATTTAAACAAACATTTGCATTAGTTCAACATAATGGTTAACTTGCTGCTAAAAGCTTTTTGGTGATTATTTGTGGGTTTTTTATAGCAGTTAAGTATAATTTAATACAGTTGACCCCCCAGTTAAGTATAATTTAATACAGTTGACCTCCATGGAATTCATATAAAACAGAAAAATCAACAGTGTTATAGGGGGTTGACTGTATTTGATTAATTATCCTTTATTGCATTTTTATTGATGAACTAGATACTGTAGATTGTGTAAGTGGGAATTACTTTGCCCTGTAAGGTTTATTGTGCACCTCGCAAGAAATTACTTCAGAAATCTAAAGTAAATTACTTCAGACTATTTAAAGTAAGACAACAGTCATATAAAGGAAAGCTAGAAAATAATGCTTACAAATGTTTACAAAAGTGACTAAAAGTGTCAGTCATGATGCCACTAAAAGTGAATACAATTTTAACCAAAAGCAAAAATATCAACAGTTTGCATAGAAGACAGGCTAACTAAAACTATATTATTTGCTTTAAAGCTTTAGATTAATTTTCTTTCACTAGTTTAAATGACTAGAAATATCTCAGGTTTTTACATTTTCAGGAAGAAATAATAGCTGATTTGGGCCCATCAAAGGGATGGAAGCCATTACATTCTCTGCTTTATCATTAAATTGGCACTTACATTGCCAGCAATTCCTTCATGCTAAAGAGAAAAATGCTATTGTGAGTAGTCAGTTCAGAGAGAGACAAACAGCACTCCAAACAGGTATTGAAGTGAACCAACAAGAGTCATGGGCCTTCAAGCTGGCTGACTGTCAGAAACAATATGGATAGCATTATTAAGAGGATATCTATGTAAATTAATGCAAACATATCAGATAATAGCTAACAGCTTAGCTTGAAACATAGTAAGGAATTTGTCTATGGGATATAGAAATTTCTATCTGAATGTTCCCACAAATAACAGCCAGCACCAGTTCCACTATTGGCTTTGAATTCATTTGCAAACCAGACTAAATTTTATGGACAAAGGTCATCTTTTCTGAATACTAATCAAGTTAATAAAGAAAAGAGAATAAATAGTGTTTATCAAAACTAAACTTTGTCAGAATTCATCAAAAAAATGTCTTCTTTCAGCATGTCTCTCAGCAGATAAATGAGCAAAAGAACACGGTATAAGTATAAGCTGTTGATTACACTTGAGCCTGTAGTTGAACAGAGAACAATTGCTGATTAGATTTAATTGTTCTGCAACAAGCATATATTCTATGTACATAGAAACTTATACTACATAGAAACTTATACTTAGCAAAAGAACTTCTCACTTATATGCTAATGAACACAATATTATGTAAGAAATAACAGCAAAAATGATTTATTTACTATATACAACATTCACTTTGCATGTGGTCCCTCATGGCTGAGATATCTGATGATAATTTTTGTAATCAGAGAACATTGATTCAACTACCAAAAATGTATGCTATGTTTCCACCAGACAGAATATATCCATTTTGTATATCAGATTCCAGAAATTAGGGAAACAGTATTTATTATGTAAATGTGCAATATTGTAGAAGAGAAGTTTCATATTGTTGTCTTTATTCAAATACAGATCATCATATTGGTCATTCTTGTTGTTTGTTATTAAGCTGTTTACCATTATAAATTATATTTCTAAAAAAGACTGTTCTCCAACTGTCTGGTAAATTTCACTTTTGTAATCATAAGCAAATATATTATTATCTATAATTAGTTTGTTATATTGCAATTTGACATTGCTTTTAAATGTATTTCTTTTCCATACAGTCTGTTTCTGACAGCTCTGGTACTCGTTGAATAGTCATCATTAATTAATGAATACATTTAGGCCTTTTAAATTACTGACATTTTTATAAACTTATAATTTATCTTTAAAATCAGATATAATCAGTCTTTTTATATTAGGTTTAAATTTTCCAGTTCTAAAAGCACATTTAGTATTGACATCTATGACCTTTAATTTTATCTTTGAAAAGCTTCTAAACCTTAACTGAACAGTCGTCCAGTTTATCATTGTCCTCTATGCCTGAGATTACAATATTATTCCTTTTTTCTTTATCTTTTAATTTCATTAACTTTTCATGCAGATTATTACAGATTACATTAATTTCTGTGTTTAATTTGCCATTTTTAAAATATACTTTTGCTTTGTCACTTTCAAGGGCAGATAGCCTAGATTTGACATCTACCAATGTTGTATCTATATTCTCTATCCATGCTTGCATTTTGTCTAAACAGTTCAAAAGTGTTTCTGATTTACTATATGAAGAGGCTTTCAGTTTCAACAAAAGTCTAATTCCTTCTTGAACATTAATCTCCTTTTCAGCACTTATATAGGGTGTCTCAAAAAAGTGCCTTCACACTTTAACAGCTGATAGCTCAATTGATGTTTTTATTTTATTTTAATGTTAAATCCATTAGAATTAATAATGGAAGTCAGACTAAGCTTTGAACAAATGAAATTCATTCTAAAATGCTACTGGATGTGTTGAAGTCCAAAGACAGTTTAGAATGGAGTTTCAAATAGATCCACCAACATGACTTACCATCACTCAAAGTAGAGAAACATTTGAAAGTGGATTGGATGAAGGGGTTTCATAGAAACACCTCCACACTACCATCACAATGTTAGATCCTACCTTGATAAGATCTTGCCAAACAGGTGGATTGGACGAAGGGGTTTCATAAAATATCTTTCACATTCACCAGATCTTACAGCACTAGACTTTTTTTTATTGGGATACTTAAAAGACAAAGTTTACACTATGAAACCTGCAACTGTTGCTTAATTGAGAGCAGCCATTGAACAAGAATGCACACAAATACCAAACAAAATGTTTTGTGATATTTGCAATTCGATTGCTTCACATTGTCAGTCGTGCCTGGTCCAGAATGGATGTCAGTTTGAAAACAATTAAATAATGTCTGTAGATTCTATTACATTTTGAAAATAAAATGTATTTTAGTAAACACCAACTTTATAGTTCTTTAAAGTGTGTACATTTTTTTGGGATGCCCTACATAAAACAAAATCAGTTGTTCCACTGACTCACCTAAGACATTTACTTTGCTTCCAATTCATTTTTTCACATTTCGTGGTGATCTTTCCTGATATATTGGTGAAAAAGTCTTCTTTTTCTGAGACAGAAACTCTGACATTTTTCCAGAAGAAAGGAAAAGTGAATCAGATCAAAGAGAGCAAAAAAATTGATGCCAACAGCTTGCAAATTTTAACAGATTATCCTTCTACTGGTTGTTTTCTGTCAGCCAACTAACTTTCATCAAATTGTACACATTAGCATTTTTTCTTTAATATCTTGTTCAATAGTAAAGAAAAAGTAGGATTCTTTAATATTAAACATGGAAAGCATTCTCTAAGTCTTGGGACACAAGTGCACATAAAGTTTGTCTGTTGTCGATATATGCTAATGGAATGTCTAAGAACATTGACAAAATCATTCTTATACAGTATATCTGTCATACATATGTAATGTACATTATATGCTCGTATGTTATCTAGGCAACATCTGTACAAAAGTATGTTCATTGTAATGGCTATACTTTTTATACTTGTGAGTTTCCTGCTTAAATGTCTAGCTCATATTAAGTACTGTAAAGAGAGTGAACCCAATCTCTGATTGCTTCCAAAGCCAGTTCTTACTCACAGAGGAACATGCTATTTAACATGCAGAGGAATAAGCTGCTATTTATTATGCAGACCGTTTCAAAGTGGTAAAATGGATTCTTGATAACACAGATTCTGAGGAAGCAGTGGCTGTTACAATTGCAAAAGACAAATTTTCAAATTCATTAATCCAAAAACATCTTGAACTATCAGTTGCTGCTAAGTTTCTACCTGCTTCACTTACCAGTTTTGAAAATGCAAATCATCCATTCAGCAAAGTGATTTGAAATTATGAACAAAGTATGTAACATGCTACTGAGAAACAAAAGCAGCTTATCTGAAAGGTTGTACAAAAAAGCTGCAGGGAACTTTGACAAAACACCATGATTTTCAGATCTGTCAATTACATCCAGCTTTCTACAAGGAAATGGAGGATGATCTGGTAACTAACAATATGGTTGAAGAATAAATATGTTTTAAATATGTACCAATTATGCCAACTTGTGTGGAAAGGAGTTTCTTTAGACATAAATCTTTATTTTTTGATAAAAGGCAAAGGTTCAGTTTTGAAAATGTATTTAGTGTGATACTGTAACTATTGACTATTCAGGAATTATGTTTAATATGAATAAACGATTTAAGTTATTGTGACCGTAGGGTTAGTGTCTCTTTGACACCACGTCAGGATGTGACACCACCAAGTCTCTCAAGGACTCAAAAAATCACGACTTTACGTCATGCAAGCAGTAGCAGGTAAGCAGTTGGATTCGGAGGAGAGAGAAACGAGGGAGTGATTCACTCGGATTCCAGATTAATAAACAATAACAAATTTATTTTACGGGCAGGAGTACATGATATATGATCTTAGGTTTATGCATATCCCTATTTTCTTAAATATAACTGTTCTGCAAGAGAGAGTTTACAAATGACTCGCATGTGGATAAATACCTTATAACTGAGTTGAAGATCGATGACTGGATACACCGTTAATGAAATGTTTGAGGTTCAATGAAACTGTTCTGGATATTTAGAGTTTCAGTAACAGGAGCAGCTCCAGGGAGAGGTATCCAACTTATGTTGAGTCACTTAGGCGAGGTTGATATCCTTAAGATAAGGTCGACAGAGGCATGGTATTTTGCACGGTAATACGCTTGAGGAGGCAAATTTTGGAGGATGACAGACTTGATTTGTCGTTGCTGTCCCTTGCTATTTCGGTTCCTTCTGGGTTTTTTCCATAAGGTCAGGAGTTTGTTGTTAAGGGTCTGGCATCCAATACTGGAAATTTATTGAAAGTTCTGGGTGACACATTAATGACTAGATGGATCATCCTCAACAAGGAAAAAAGTCCTTGGAAATTAATGTTTTATGGATTTTAATCTAAATCAGAAGATTAAATTTTAAAATAACACTTTATTGATGGTCCCTTTGTCCCTCACATTGTTGTTTTCTTTGTTCTTCATAGTCATAAATCACAATTTAAAAGTGCATATTTAAATGCATATTTTGGGCATTTAAAGTACATGCATGCATATTTCAGTGATTATAAATGCATAAAGTTCCTGGCCTTAGTTATCAGTTAAAGTTAATTAACACCACGAGATAGCAGTTATATTTATTTTTAATATAATATCAATTATTAATAGACAATTTGTCTTTTTTTTTTCTTATTTAATATATATATATTTTTAGAATGAATGTAATCCAGAAACATGTACTCAAATGACGGCAACTGAACAATGGATATTTCTTTGTGCAGCACATAAAACACCAAAAGAATGTCCTGCTATAGATTATACTAGACATACTTTGGATGGTGCAGCCTGTTTGCTGAACAGTAATAAATACTTTCCTAGCAGGTAGTACTTACTAGTATTAATATTTATAAATGTAAATCAAACATACAATAAATAATTACATAAAAATTTAGTAATTATCAGTATTATTTTTATATTTAATTATAAAAACAGTTTTATGTATTTTATTTATAATTTGGAATAAAGTGTCAAAAACTGAAATTGTTAAATTGTGATGTTCAGGGTGATCATAATTAAAGAGTGGCTGTTCAGGTTCTTTGTAGAAAGAACTATTTAGCCAATCTCAATTGAATTTTGCATACATACTATCCTGAGTATGCAGTTTTCATTTCTGAGGAAAAATTTTACTTCAGAATTCAATTGCTAGTGCAAAATTTGGTGCTGCATCTCTGTTATGTACATATTATATACATTTTATAACAAATTTTGCATGTAAAAGGAGTTAGAAACATTCTTCAAATTCTGACAGTTGAACAATCATGGTACTCACTTAGCCTGATTGTGCATTACTTGTTAAACTCTTCTATTAATGAAATAGGTATGCCAGCTTGGTACTTAAGGAATTTCAGTGCTTGAAACATTTATAAAGTTCTTTTTGACTATTAGGAATTTTATGAAAATAATTTTGCATTTTGAAGCGACTAGAACTTTTGCTGTGAAACAAGGACAAGGTTGCAAACTGATTGGTCATCTGAAAATGGAAGACATCATTACTATAGTAATGGAGCATAAAATTCTCATAAAATGTGACAATGGAAAATGAGCATATTTCAATACTTAAAATAATAAAGAAATTTTTACTGCCTGTCATTTACTGTACATTTAATGCCAACAGACAGTAAAAATACAGGCATACCTCAACTTATGTCATTTCGAGTTACGTCGTTCCCGATTATATGTCGTTTGTCAAAAAAGTATATGGAAAAATAAAAATCAAGTTTAAGTCATTTTATTCGACTTTACGTCTGCCCGCCACAAATATTGAAGTTGTAATATCACTAGAAAGATGTTTAAAGCACATAAAATCATATTAAAATATATACATTTACAAGTATGTACTGTATTTACAGTACATGCATTCGTAAATTTAGATTACTTTTTCTGTACTATATTAAAAACTAAAATTTATTTGTTTGTAAGCTTAAAACAGATCCTTATTAACCATACATTATTAAAAATGCATTAATAAATAAAATACAGAACCAGGAATGGTAATTTATGATTTAGCCTAGTGACAAGTAGATTCGGAGACAAGTAAATTCAACTTACATTGTTTTCCTGGAACCAATTACCGACGTAAGGCGAGGTATACCTGTATCTTTATTATTATAAGATATTGGCATACCATAGAAGTAAATTCTTATATGTTCAATACTTAACTGTAACAACCAGTTTTTTATGACAGCCATTAGATGGAATGCAGCCGGTGACTATACTTTTTAAACATCTAATAGTTAAAAATTAAAGTATAATTTTTAATGGGGTTTACTACATAATGCGTCATAATTAGTTTTGATTTGGATTTTCAACTGATGTCATAGAATAAAACCCGGTATTCCATAATTTAGATTCCAAAAGCATTATAGAATGAAGGTATGTTTATATTTTAAAATGATAGTTCTACTAAAAACACCACAAAATCTGGAAAATAATATAAACACTCAGACACCTTCTATACTGAATCCAGCAGAAACATTTATTGAAAAACATTGCACAATATTTTAATTGTGTGTAAAACTAAGCCTAATATTGGGATGCTAGTACAAGCTTTTAATGATAACAAATGTAGTTTAACTCTTAAGTTAGAAGAGTCTAGTTACCTCATAGTCCATTACTTGGACCTAGAAATTGAACTATGCAATGGAAGAGTCTGCACATGGTTTATCATAAACCTGAATACTAACCTTTTTTTCATTCTATCAAACTCTAATGACCCTAGAAGCTATAAAACAGTGGCATTTAAAATGTTTATAAAGTGTGCTCACACTACTTCCATGATAAAGATAAAGCACATAAGATAAACTATTAAAAACATAGTTGCAAAACAAGGCTACAGCATGAGGTTCATTGCCAAATTAGCTAGAAATACTGAATGTAGTCAACAATTCATGTAAGAAGAAGCAGCATATCATGCAAGATTGGACATACTGTACCTAACCCTGGAGTACAATCTCAGGCTACACAAAGTATACTCTAGAATAGCTAGAGAGGTAAACAAAGATATTGTATATAAATAAAATTTGTCAGTCTTTTGTTTACTAACAAATGGAAAAGATTCTAACAGTACATAAAAAAGATTCATTTCTAGATATCAGGTTCAACCAATGCCTTGACCATATTGAATTGATTAATGAATCATTAATAACCAGAATAAGGGAGCATGTGTATGACATCTCAAAAATGAATTATAACACTGCTGTGGCTAAATTTGCATGCAAGCCAAGGTGTCTCAGTGTTGGGATGAGGCTAAACTTCTATACAGTAATACCTCAACTTACGTGAACCCTGAGTTACACGATTTTCAAATCTCGTCGATTCATCTTTTGTTTGAGTACTATGCAACCCTTGATTACTCACTCCCCCACACTATTGTTCAGCTTACATGTTCGGATGTTTCGCGCACAATCGGCACATAGCTACAATTTATTTTGTGTTGTTTATGTCTGTGTTTGTTATATCTACGGAGACTTGAGAGACTCTACTATGTCATCCAAACAAAGTTAGAAATAATTCTTCTGCATCAAACAAGAAAAGAAAAACTTTATCTTTGGAATGTAAAGTTAACATTGGTTATGTTCGTAAAGTCGAACGAGTTAAACGAGAATGACGTCATCGTTATTCCTATTTCGTTAGACTTTTCGAACGATTCGTTACTAAAGCGTTTAACTCATTTGACTTTACTTATTAAAGACTTCGATACAAAAATGAAAATTTGTGAATTGGCAAAGAAGTTTGATCTACTGGAATTGTCAGTCAGAACAATTATAAAAGGCAAAGAAAAAATTCTCGAAGCTGTGAAAAATGCTCAATCTTTAAATTCAAGCATCATTCATAAACATCACAGTATTATCGCTGAGATGGAAACAATGTTAAAATTATGGTGTAATAATCAAGTAAATGTGAAAAATTTTAAATAATATAGGCCTAATTTGTTATACATATGTATTATCTAAGATTTTATTAAACATTTTTTTCTAAATTATTGTTTTGTTTAGTCTCCGGCCCCAATTAAAAATTATTTGTATGTATTTATATGCGAAATTATACCCC